GAGTGAGAGATAAGAAAAACCGCGTTTCAATGTGGCGTGATGCGAAGGATATCACGCCGGACAAAACCGCAATCTACCGAACCATTATTTGCCTCGTCCTGCGTATATGTGTATGTGTGTGTATGTGTGCGTCTTCTCGATCGATTTACCCGTTCAATCTAATTTCTCGCAGAGGCAAATGATTATCCGGCAGTACCGGCGTTACAAGGCTTCTTCATCATGGAGAGCGCGCGCTCTCCGGGAACGCACACCGTTCGCCTTGCTTGCTCGCTCGCTTTAGAACAAGTTATAAACCGACATTTTTTGGAAGGCGACTTCTCGCGTACACACAGCGCTTCGGGCTGGAAATCAAAACTTATTAGAGCAGGTCGGACGTCGCGACCGACGACGGATCGGTGCGAAAAAAAATCTACGTATTCTACGTATCTTGGTGATTAGCCGGCGCTAGGCATTAACGTTGCACGGGGCAGGTTTGGCGGGACCGCGAGAGAGCAGGAGGAAAGAGAGCGCGAAAAAGAGCGCCGATGAGAGATGAAGAAGAACGAGACAGAGACAGACAGATAAAACGAGAGAGAGAGGGAAAGAGGAGAGGGAGAGAGAAAGGGAATGTGTGTATGTGTAAGAGAAAGAGAGAGAGAGAGCGACAGAGAGACAGAGAGAGAGAGAGAAAGAGAGAGAGAGAGCAGTGGTCCCGGCAAACAAGAAGCGAGCCGCAATGCATTCGCTCTACTCACTAGATATAAATACGCGGCAGAGGGCAAGGAACCACGCCTGCATCAGCAGCTACTGCCTAACGACACCGACACGCACATGCAGCCGTTCATTGTGATAAAGCAGAAGAAGGAATACATAGAGAGGAAAAGATAGAAAGAGAAAGAAAAAAAGAAAAGAGCGAGAGGGAACTAGAGGTGGAGACAAAAGAAAGAGAGAAAGAGGTAGAGGCAAAAAAGACGGATAGAGAAAGAGAAAAAGAGAGAAAGGAAAAGATAGTGCGAGCGAGCTAGAGGGAGAGAGAGAGAAAGAGAGGAGGGGAAAGAAAGAGACAGAAAAAGAGAGAGAGACAGAGAGAGACATAGAGAAAGAGAAAGAGAGACGCACAAGCTGGTGCTCGCCGCTACTGCGAGTTCGTTCATGCGCCCACCCGTGCACTGCGAGTTGGGACGAATGTGGCCAACCAAGGAGTCTCTTTCTTTCTCTTCCTCTTTCTCCCTCTCACTCCTTCTCTTTCGCGTGTCGTCGTCGTCGTCATTTCTCTCTCTCTTTCTCTCTCTCTCCTTTCCTCTCTTTCTCGAAGACGCGGTCAAATATTGCATCGTCGGATAAATATAGGCGGTCGCGACTGCACCAGCCCTAACGCGTACTTTTCTGTTCTCGCAGTCGTCGCTCGTTGTTCACTTTTGGACGGCTACTACTATATCGAAATCGAGAGAGCAAGAGAGAAAGAGAGAAAGAGAGAGAGAGAGACGATTCTCGCCGGCGCGCCGCGGCATTCCTCTCCCGTGGCTCTCTTTCCGCGCTGTGCCGCGCAAAACGATCGTTAAATCCGTTCTTCGTTCGTGGCCGAGAACTTGGCGATGACGATCCCGAAACCTAAGCACGCCGCTTGACGATATATATATATATATATATATATATATATATATTTATATATTTATATATCTATATTTTTTTTTCAATCAATTCTCGGTAAATTTGATTAAAAAATAACTGTTGATATTAGAAAAACATACTCTGTTACGATAGAAAATTGTTCTCAAAAAGATACGCAAAAATAATATCCCTGCTGGGTAGCACTAATAATAAAATAAGACAATAATAATAATAATAAAAAAGGCAATTGACACCGCAGGAGGAAAAGCTGCTGCGATTCTGCCGGTCTTTTCTAAAGATACACGCGGAGAAAGACATATAATCGAATTTCGCGTAATCTCGTAGCTTAATTTTATTCAGTTCGAGCGGTTATCTAATGACGCGTTATAAAACAAAAGTGATAAGTCGTAATTAGGTCACTACAATAATGCGTTACGCGGTATACGAACTTGTTGGAAGAATTTTCACATGTTTCTTACGACTCGGCAACAATTTTCTTTTCTCACATCATTAATACGTCTCGAATTTTTGTCGCGCAAATAAAATGTGGATTTTACGTAAAAACATTATACTGTCCTAGAGTACTTTCTTCTCTTTAGCTAATATTAGCGATGCCTACTATGATGATTCATCTCGAATTTCTATAAATAAAATCTACATGTATTAAATATCGACAGTTGCAACGCGCACAGAGCACTATTGATTTTTAACAATATTGTTTTTTCAAGAATTTACGAAACAATATGTGCCACATTAGTGATACATAATGCCTGTGTGCGCATAAATGCACACAATAGCTAATTCAACTCAAAGAGGTCAAGCAACCTCGTTTATTTTGTAACTGACCGTACTGTGTGCTCTGGTGTGACGTTTGAGAATCGGGTTTTCATCGCGCTTCACGCATAGTTACGTTATATCATTGAGAAGAGCCAATCGCGCGGCCTGTTTAGAACGCGACTTGTCCGTTTTCGCGAGCGCATCTCGCGCCGCTTTGTTTTCGCGGCAAAAGCGCGCGCCAAGTCCGGGACGCCCTCGTGCCGCGCATCGCGAGAGAGGCGAGCACGTGGCTGGTGAGTATAGTCAGTGAAAATCATCGTGCGCGGACATTGAGTAGAGGGAAACGTGCGTGATAGCGAGCGCACACAATCCACCATGGAGGGAGGTCCTAATCAACGTAGCGCGTGAATCTAACTCCGCGCGAACGTAAAGGAGGCTCTCTCCCGGAACGAGAGATAGAAAAGAGGAGACGCGCGGAGGAACGAAGAGGATATGGGGAGAGGGGGGAAGAGGTACAGAAGACATTGGGGAGGGGGGAGGAGGAGGAGGAGGACACGATGCGTTCCGACTGCGATCGGCGACCGAGACTTGGAGACAGAACGGAGACGGTTATCGCGGAAGTTCGGCAATTATAGGTGCCGTCGGCTCATCTTTTTTTCTTTCCTCTCTGGCTTTTTTTTGTCGACGAGTGATATTGATTTGGGAGAGGCAGTTCGTATTCGCTGCACGAGCATACCTTGTGACTCGCGGAGGCAGGCGATGCTGCCGCCGCTGCCGCCAGCGCGATGCATCACGGCGCAGCGCGCATTGAGGGGTACAACACGTCGCGCTGCCGGGAGAGAGGATCGCGTGGAGAGATAGGGTGACAGAGGGCGAGAGAGTGAGAAAGAAGAAGAGAGAAAGAGAGAAAGGACGGGAGGTGGAATGTGTGACGAAGAGCCCAAGAGAGAGAGAGGAAAGCGATCGGTCCGCTTCCCCGCCGAGCCGCCAGTCATTCCCCTACGCCGAAACGGTGCCCCACCGCGTGCATCTCTCTCCCCTTCTCGCCAACGGCGCGGTATAAAACCCCTTCCATCGGTTCGACGAACATAACTTCCTCGCCGAAGCCTCCTCTCGACCACCTCCTGCCCATCGTCGGTTCTCACCGACCGTCTCGTTCTCTACCACCGCCGATCGCTGCCACCGCCACCACTATCACACTACCCCAACTCTACTCGCCAGAAACGGACATTGGATTTTCGTCGCCCGTGATTCGGAGATGCACAATTTAAAAGCAATTTTAAAAATCAAAAGACTCGATAGCTCTCCTGTTACTAAAAAAATTGAAATTTAATTGAACGTTATGACAAAATAATATGACAAAATTTGAAGGCTAAATCGCATGCGTGTGTAGCTTTTGTGAAAAATTTCTCTATCATAATGTGATTCCAAAATGATTAGTAGAGCAAAGTATAATGAGAAAGACTTAAACGACCTTTCAGCCGAAGAATAAAATCTCAAATTTTTTGAAGTTTCGTTAGTTCCATTATAAATCTGCAGTTTTTTCTGTTAAAAAAAACATATCAAAAGCGGAGCAAAATATCTAGACATTCAAATTGGAATAATATAAAAACTATTTTCGGTTTTGCACAAATAAACTAATCACTTTCATGTGTAAAGAGACAAAACTAATACATCAACAAAATTATTGATAAAATAATTACATGTTGATAAATTTCACGAATATAGAAAAAAATAAAAACCTTAATTTTTATCACAAAATTGTTGAATTAAATATGCTGCAGCACTAACAAAAAATGTTACTTGTCATAAAGACTCGAAGATAATTTTGAAAAACTATATCATCATTGATACATTTTTGAGGGACCAAACAAATGTCAGTTAGACGCGTATTTTTCGCGAACACATCCGCCCCTGCGATCGTCGCTGCCGTCGCCGTCGCTGCTACCACCGCCGCCGCCGCTACCGCCGCCG